GTTTTTTTTCATTTGTTGCCTTATATTAAAGCTTAAATATGAACGTAAACAGAAAAATATAGCAAATTCATACTTTCCTGTTGTCAAGTGTGTTCAAAAACTTCTAGATTTCTTCATAAACGACTTTAAAGAACACTTACCATTCAAAACATACAGAACCACGCGCACTTTCTATCAGAACATGGCGGACTTTAACCACGTGATACAACTAAACAATAGAAAATTTGACAACCCATTGTCGCTACTCTGATAATCTAGGGTACTCTAGACTCGTGAGCTATCACTCTGATATTCTAATCGTTTGCATGTCTTAGCCTGCTTATTATTTCCTGTAATTTTTTCATGCTATTGCAATCTTTACAAACGGTAGTGTATATTATCGCAAGATTCAAGTCAATTCGTTACTTATAAAATCGTAAACTTCATTTCAGATTTGAAATTTAAGCCCAAATTTAGAAATTTTAACATAAATTTTATATTTTTAACTATTATTAAATGGCAAAGGCTTAATTTTTATGGTAGAAATAGGTTATATAAGAAAACTTTATATGCTAATAACGAATAAAATCGTCATCAATTCCGATTCTACTGGAGATACACGCGACACTGCTTAACACGTGTTGGTCCTTCTTTGTTACGATTTCTCTACAGGCGCTACGGTCGTTCTCAGCCAATGTGTTTCTGCAGCTGAAAGCTTGTATACAAACGCCTTTATTTTATTATATAAACTTTATATAAATTTATAAAGGTATAATACGAAAGCTTGTATTGTGCATTTATAAATTGCTGTACAGTACCTGTAAATGACATTTTCCATCTCAAAAATAATGATGATTATTATTTCATTTATGTTTTTAAAAAATGCGAAACTAAGGTAAGGTATTTGCAAAATTTTATAAGTATTAATTTGCATAATCTCTTGTCTCATCACTTATATTTTTATGTGCGAGTTTCGCATTTATTTGCATTGTTAGATTCCACTTTCCTTTTACGCCTTTCTACATTTACTGTATTTTAATAATATTGTATCAATATAGGGAAGACATTATCATTGTACTGATAACTGTGTTGATTATTAAATTATTTAACGAAAGTTTTCTAAATGACAAAGTAAGTTGTCTGTCCTCAACATAAAATGAACGTTTTATTAGAAATTACGTAAATACAGCAACTTAAAAAATGAAAGGTTAATCTCTACTTACGTGGACTGTCATGGCCGTACAGAGTGAACCCACGTTCTATACTAACCTAACCTAACCACGTTCTAATAAATTACCAATATTGGTAATTTATTAGAATAGGTTAGGTTAGAACGTGAGTCCCACTGTGTAGCACTGACAGTCCGTGTAAGTAAAGAGTGACCAAATGAAAATATTAATAAGAATATAGATAAAAGACACGGTTTCGAATTGTAAGAAAATATAAACGTTAGCCACTGGAATCAGGGCTGTGGAGTCGCGTATAAATCTACCGACTCCTACTCCGACTCCACAGCCCTCATTGGAATTCAATATTAATATTTGATACAATGTTTCGGAAGCAATTACATATGACAGGTACTGATATCACCTTATTTCTCGAAAACTTCATAATAGGTTGGAAAGATTCCGTATGCTAGGATGTTAGTGAGTGGGGAGGGTACTATTTTATTCATCCTCTTAGAGGCTTAACTATTGTCGAAAATTTCTGAAATTTTGCTGGAAAGTTTGCACTATAGTGGATCGATCCTTGTAAATTTTAGTGGTTAAAGGTCAAAAAGATACAGAGATAGACGGGAGATCGTATGTCTTGCGTATATCGAGGATTTTTATTTCTTTTCGCCGGAAAATTACGCAACTGATTGCTGTATTTCTCCCCAGATAATGTTCAGCACGTAGGTCAACTTGTTTGTCATTTCAATGATTTTAATAACAAAGTACGTTCAGCAATCATTCGATATACTCGAAACACACAGAATACTTGTGTTGAGTATCGTAGCTACGACAAATTCGTGGATTTTGGAATTAATCAGATTGCTGAGGTAAGAGTATTTCATCTGTTTATTTCAAGTATATATGTAATTTAATTAACTTTATAAAATATTTATTTCATATTTTAGAAGAAAGATATTCAACGTGGAGCAAAGGAATCTGAGCAGACATTTCAACTGCTGTTTGCTGTTCGTCGAAAGTATTTTCCTTTCCTCTATCTTACGGTTTGCGGATTCGTACGTGGTGGAATATTTGAAAGGAGAAGATTACGAAATAGAGTCGGACGACACATCTTTGTTAAAATATTGTCCCCGGGATCACACACAAGATTCATTAATCGACGTATTGGGGTATTCGGAAAATTAATTTGAAATGTTTTAATCTTCGTATTTATACATCTTTTAATTGGGTAAAGTAAAAAGATTATTATTAATGAATGACATTATCATTCAGAAAATACATAAAACTCAATGATCAATTCTTTATTCTCTGTAAATTTTGATTGCAGATAAATTATTTGTTTATTTACATGTTGCTGTTATATCAAAATTGAATAAAATAGAAATCTAATTTTTAAATTAAATTTTATTTTATACTTATAAAAACCATTTAAAGGAAAAATTTAATGTTATGTTTTACTTCTTGTTTAACCAAACACGTCAAAAATGAAGAAAAATGAGAAATTATTTATTTTTTTGTAAAAAAGGGCTGGCAGAAATTACAATTTAATAAAATAAAAATTTCAATACAAATACTAGTTGTATCTTGTTGTATCACCTGGAACAACGGGTTGTTCCAGGTGATTTAACATGGCAAGCAAGCAAGATACAACTAGTATTTGTATTGAAATTTTTATTTTATTAAATTATTTATTGTTTCGTCGTAAAAACCGAAATGCAATTTTTAATCGTAATATTAATTATTTGCTTTCTGCCTGAAATTAATGAGTCTTGCCCCTATATATCATACTGTTTCAGACGACAACACAATCATGCCGATCATTTAACTTCTTTCAATTAACTATATAGGTTACTCTTTCCATGTCTTGTTTGGTCTTTCATCTATTTTATTTTGTTCTCGAGATTAAAGAAGGACAGACAGGAAGTGGGAACTTATAGGTCTACAATCTATTTAAAATGCAGCCTAAATACTGAAAACATGCTACTGTAACGTGAAAGACTATTTAAACACACAACAAATTGAGTTTTCAAATAGAGCGAATTTTATCCGAAACGAATTGTTCTGTATTGTATTTGACTAGGCATAAGTTTCATTCACAATGCCCAGGATTAGATGACTGGCAGGACTCGGGTGACGAAAAACTCCTCATTAATCTTACGCTCGACCGATAAAAGTCGTTAAGGTCTTAAGAACGTTATATTGTCACTGTGAAATAATACATATGAGTATATTATGTACGAGTAATACATACGAAATACGACTTATGTATTTCAATCGTGTTTTGATAATTTATTAATGATGCAAAGTCCGGAAGATGACAGGCAAATAATGTAATAATATAATATTTATTTAGAATTTTGATGCTATTTACTAGTACATTTTTCTTTATGTTTGTGTTGTAGAATCTATGTTTATTTTTCATTTTAAAATTTTGTAATCGGAAATTTAATTCCAGTGAAACAAATAGAAAAACTTGATATAAATCAATATTTTATCTTAAATATAAGGCGAAATTCCGAAAGTAGTAAATCAATTCAATTAAAAGCTTAGTTAATTAAACGATTGAAATTATTCTTGCTGAAATCATTTTAAATTATTTTTGTGCCTTCTAAAAATAGAGATCGACTTCGAAATGAAAACTAAGACTTTCTTCGTCGTCTTCTTCTTTAGCAGTTGGACTTTTATGTTCTTGGAGGAAATAATAATTATCGGGTTTAATTCGTAACTGGTTTTCTGGAATTAAGTCTTTGCGGTCTATCTTGGCGTTGAGTCGACTCACCGAATTTTTTCTTAGGAATATTACAGAATTCAACACCCCTTGTCCTTCTCTGTCGCATTCCACATACTTCTTAAATTCCCTGTTACCGCCGACAACCTTTACGTCTACGTAGGTCTTTATACATTTTTTTTTGGAGTGAATTACGGGAAGACGAATTCTGTAAATAAAACAGTTTTCCTTTACAGAAATCTCGCAATTAAACTTCATTCGAGCACTGACTTCAAGATATTCGCTAAATCTTCTTTGAACTCGATGGTTATAATGAAACAAAGTGTAATAGAAGCGATAATCTCTCTGGTATTCCTCTGTGCAGAGGGTGGCTGGAATTTTAGTTTTGTCTTTGAATTCACTCGAGTAATAATTTCTGATTGCTTCGATTTCTTCGTCGGTTAAGACTTTTCCCTTTGCAGCGTTGAAAATGTTACGTTCAAAACATTCTTTCCCCATGGAAAGGAATCGAATTTTAGATAAGAATGGTTCGATAACTGTTCTTAAATTGACCTGTGGAGTAACTTTGTTGTTAGCCCAGATGCACACGATGTGGAACAAAATGGATTCGTTTAACTTGTCGTATATCGGACGAGAGAGAAGAGTGTTTATTGTGATTTCGCTGCATTGTAAATACTCGTTTCTTCCAAATATTTGACTTCCTTTATGGTCGAACCATTTCCAACACTCGTACATTATGTTGAAGTCATTCATTTTCCAGGCGAATTCGTAAATAACAAAAATGTTAATAAAGTTGATGTTTGACAAAATATTTGTATGGCAAATAGATACGATGTCAACGGCTCCATAATGTTTTCCAAATCGATACAGATCCATTGCTTCTTGGATTGTTCTTATGTAAGTATGTTTTGATTTCTTAAACCTATAATTGAATATCAGTAAAACATTCCGAAATTATTATATTTTAGTAATGGAAAGCTTAGAAATAAATCACTTTCAGACAAACTTACTGAATAACTCGTTGCATGAATTCGGTGGAATAAGGAAAGAAGACTTTGAAAGATACTGTTTGAGGATAAGAATTTATGAATTCTCTGAACAGACGACTGAATTTATGAAAATCGAGCAAATTAAGATCGATTTGGCCATTAAGACATTGTATATTAACTGATTCCATTGCTTGAACGAGACAATTAATTTATACTGTAATAATTAGACAAGAAATAATAAAATCTACAAATTATTAAATGCAGAGTATTGTTTAGTCGTGACGTTGTACGCATTGTTAGCGTTATACTTTCGTGTAACTGTAAAATTATTTATATTTATATTACATATATTTTCGAAACTGTTGTTACTTAAATGTATATATATATTAGGCTCAAAGAACGAAAAGCTTATTGAGCGAAAAAAACGACCATAACGCGTTGTCTCTGTTTATATCATTGGCAGCACACAATATTCGTGTTCTGGCTTTCACGTTATTTGACCACTACAAGAAATAAAATGTATGGAGAAAAATACACATTTGTGCTAAAGTAGGTGCTTGATGTACTGTACACGATGACATAAAAAGCAACTTCTAAAGTTAAAAACCACTGTGAACAAATTTATTACGTTTAAAAGCCACCGCAAGTTCTGGATATGAACTAATAATGAAGTGATAATAAGAAATTACAAATTTCTTTTTCGTTATGATTTATTTATCTTTTATCCTCTTATTTAAGCAAGTACGAAAATTATTTACGGCGTACAAAAATGTAACTTTTTAACAGCATTTATTATTCATGAAAATCTGTTGCAGTGCTCGAGATGTCAAGATTTCTAACAACTAATTTATTAAAAATAATTACTTTGTCAGGATCTTTTATTAATAAATCAGCGTTTTATATGAGAATTGAGAATGTTTCAGACTTATTTATTCATACATGAACTATTACCATGACATTTCGAGTTGCATTTTATGTTCTTTGAGCGACATTTGCATTTTTATCAATACAGTATCTTTTACAGTGACACATTATAAACCCTCGCTTACTTCCAGATGTTAACGTGGATGCTGAGCGAAGTGTGAATGAAGTTGAGGGTAAGTCCTGAATGTTAATAAAGTTACTCTCAGAAATTGTAAATTGCTTACGATCGTAAAGTCGATCGAGAAGACTTTCCTTGTTTTCTCAGTTTTCTTGGCTGTGATGTGTACTACATAATAAAAAAGTATTGGAATCGTGTCAAATTTGACCTTCATGTGATTTGAAAATCTCCACGTTTTGAAACGTTATAAACCAAAAACGTAAAAAGAATACAAAAAATTTCGTTAAGAAATGTTAATCTTGAAAATTACTTATTGAAATTTAATTTAGAAAATACATTTCAAACCCGTTTATTGTTCTGAAATTTTTGCAACATTGCCAGGATAGTTTATTTTTAAGCATTTTCCCTGTAGGCATTAAGATTTTTTCTGTTAGAAAGCCCATTTTGTAGACGGTTCTCCCCGAATTATTATTGGGATTTTACACCGAACAGCATTCGAATTCAGACCTCTTAGACACGGGCGCCCGTACATTAGGGCATTTGAGGCACGTGTCGGGTTGATCTTTTTTTAATTTTCAACAGGACCCCAAACGACAAGAAATTCGTGACTTTTAGCCTAATCTGCAAATATAACAGAAACTAATAAACCATATTTGTCTATTTACTAGTGATGTAACGAATATTCGGTTACTATTCGGTATTCGGCCTATTCGGCCTATTTTTCACTATTCGGCCGAATACCGAATATTTAATCACTATTCGGCCGAATACCGAATATTTAATCACTATTCGGCCGAATACCGAATACTTAAAAACAGGAGTAATAAATAACAAAAACACAGTAAATTAATGATTTTGGTATTTAGATTTAATTTTATCGGGTTACTGTTGTTTGTTTATATTTATTTATAACTTGTAACATGCACAAAATAAAAAAAATACAGTAGAGCATCGATTATCCGACCCTGGATTAACCGTCAGATCGGTTAACCGACCGTTCTAGTCGGCAAATTTCAAATGTCCGCTAGTGATGTGGCGCTACAATATTTTGCTATGTCTTGGATACTTTAATATTATTTTTGTTAAATTTTTGCGTGTTTTAGCTGGCAACGCGGCTCGACCATTGNTTCAAATGTCCGCTAGTGATGTGGCGCTACAATATTTTGCTATGTCTTGGATACTTTAATATTATTTTTGTTAAATTTTTGCGTGTTTTAGCTGGCAACGCGGCTCGACCATTGAAGGGAGGCCAGTATTTAAACGAGACTTAATTTTCTAATTATGAATGGTTGTTTGTTTCGTGAGCAATAAAATAATTTAAAAATAATTTTTAACGATACAATAGCGACGATTATTATTTTTAAAAAATTTTTAGGCTAAACATCGATGAAAATTCAACGTGAAGTTGGTTAATTAATAGCGATATGTTAATTACATGGGATATCCTAATATACTATACTAATGTATTTTTTTCATTATTTTCGGTTATCCGATTTTTTCAGTTATCCGACCAACCTGAGTCCCCAATTG